TATATATATATATATATATAGAGAGAGAGAGAGAGAGAGAGAGAGAGAGAGAGAGAGAGAGAGCTTTATTTAACGGGGACGTAAGAGTAGTAGCTTTATTCTTTCTTGTGAAGCACACCTTGATTCTTACAAAAGTGATTTACCAAAGATTCCTTTCTTTCTAGATGAGGAACTCTACTCCTATTACACCTAACTAAAACACTATCGCCTTCCAACTCAACCTCTCTCGTTCGTTGCTATTGCACGTCGACCTCACAAATACCGAGTCTACTATCCCACCAAGACAAGAAAGATTGTGATTGCACATCAATCTCACAAAAACCAAGTCTACTAAGCACTATCCCACCTAGACGCTCTAGTCTGGTTCAACTAAAAAATTAATTAAGATTTAACTCAAGTCAACGGTTAATTTTAACTATACATTTTATGTGACTTACAATTTTTTAACTACACGGTTTATCACATTTTATCAAAATCTACTGAAAATCTACTTTTTATCTAAATGAAAAGGGGGCTAAAACTCTTGTTGATTGCATGGTTAAGAGAGAAACTTACCTTAACTTTATTGATTTCAAGAATTTAATATTCTAAACAATTAATTAGAGTTCAAATTCATATTGATATCATTTCAAGATTAAAATATACTATTTATAGAAATGGGTATAATTTTAATATATTGTTAATATTTCGTGTCTAACTATTCTCAAAAAATAATGTTTACATATATCGTGTCATATAGCTCGTGTCTCGTTTTTTGTTTCCGTTTAGTGCTATTCAAGCCTTTTATTTCTTAGACATTGAACATATTTATTTATTGATATTTCGCTTTCAATACATCTGATATCAAGAGGTGGGTAACGCATGCTATGTAATTTTTATGTATTTAAAAAAATGATATATTGATGCTTTATAAATCGGTGTGAGGACTAATTATGTTACATAGCATTACTCGGGGTGGAAGTGATAGAGATTTTCAAAGTATCGAAAGAGGACATTCTAATGAAAGTTAAGATTCAAAGGTAGATTCAAATCGTGGACGAAAACAGAAGAACGTGGCATGACCAAACTCCTAAAATGTTGTCAGGCTTCAAAGACACGATATTTATATACTAATGCTATAATCTAATAAGAAGAATATTATGCACGATCTCCAATACAAATATGTAAATACTGAATATATTGACATCTAAATTGATGTTTGAAACCATTTATGTTAAAGTTCATTATTCATACACATTAGATTTTGTGTCAGAAGCATGATCGAATATGTGTGAGATCGAAAAATTCCTAAGTAAAACCAGAAGCGTCACAACACAGTAGTTCCTTCCACGCGGCTTTGAAATCCGTGCAAAGTGCAAGAAAATGCATTCTTCGACTTGTAGTGTTCATCTTTGACTCTGATAGTATGCAGTCTTTGCGTGATTCTTGGGGGGAACACACTCCGAGAATTCTAAGCACTTTAGTTTCTGGGATTTTTCAAAATTTGGATTTGGAAGATTATGGTATGATTATTTTTGTATGAAATTCTAGTAGTCGTTTTGGCGTCTTTTGAGACTGCTGTCGTCTCTGCACAGTATCAGTCAAATTCTAACGTTCCGACATATTCTTGACAATTAGTATTATTAAGGAATCATTAGAGTACAAGGATAATCTTGCTGTCTCTGATCTTTTCATTTGTTTAAGAAAAAAAAATGGATTAATTATTTAAACATCTATACTACGCCTATTATTTAAAATCTAAATTTTAAGTTAAGTCACAGTCAATAATTAATTTTAATTATATATTTTACGAGGTGGATAACTTTTTAATTACACATTTCATCACATTATATCAAAATCTACTAAAAAAAATTGATTTTAATTCCTACCAAATGGGGGCTAAGTTAACATCTAGATACATTTTCTCAAAGTACTTCAGAATGTAGAGATGAGCATTTTGGATTATTGAAAGATGAACTAAACTGTCCAAATAGTTCAATTTATGAGTAATTAAATAAGCTTCGCCAAACATGTACGAAAATATGATGTTGGTTCGACTCTTCTCCGTTTTTAGTTTTTTTCTGAGGAGCAATGTCAGTCTCCAAACGAAAAAAAGAAATAGTGGAAAATCTTGTTCCTAATATAATGTGTGAGGAAAATGATTATTAATTATTTAAATTAAATGTTTACACAATTAATTAAAAAGTGATCGAGTAGTGTCTATACTCTGCCATTTCAATTTCTGAGGAAATCTTTGATTTGAATGACATTTTCCTTTCCAGATGTGCATATATAGAAGGCAATAGACCACTGATTAACTAGTTTTTGCTTCTTAGAAATTAGCAAAAAATGATTCTTTGATCAACAAAAATAATTTTTTTTACCAAAGGTTAACAATGATTTTATGATTTTCTTACCATTGCTTCACACATTAAATTGCTGTAAAAAAATATACATTCTCTCATTTTAGTACTTTTCATCGAGTTTTAAGGTACCGATTTAGAGCCTCCATTGTACAAATTGAAGGATTATTCGACGAAAATAAAACTTAATCGACGTTATTCTCTCCCAAACAAAAACCCATATGGACTGTTATTAGGACAGAAGATGATATAATATGAGAAACAAAATTAACCATAAATTAGCTTTCAATCATTCTTGGAAAACATTAGACCTCAGTGTCTAAAATAAAGCTAAAACAACTCAACACAATCCATTAATGTCAAACATTTTCAGGAAGTACAGAAAATCCTACAAAGAAAATATATAAATAAATAAAAAAACAACCTCCTACCAATTCTAGGGTTTTTGAGTCGATCCGGTTGCCATCCTGGAACCTTTCAATCATGGTGTAAGTTTTCAGCTCAACTTTTCAGTGATAATCAATACATATGATCTCTTATCGTGAAGCTTTTACGGATAAAATTTTTTAAGCCTCGTGTCGATGAAATGAAGATCAAAAACTCAAGAAACTATAGTTTCTATAATTGATTGCTTGTTGAAGAAGAGTTAAAACTAGAAAGATCTGTCCAATTGGCGGCACCACTCCACTGATCATTTCCTGGCATCCCCAATAATTGCCTTAACTCTGGGTTATCTTCCATTTTTACTGATGCCATCTGAGTTAGAATTGAGCTTGAAAATTTAGGCCTCACCTGACTAGTTTCACCAACAAAGCCTGATTGCTCAACACCACCTTGAAATTGGTAAAGCCCGGCTGGGGATGAATCCAAACCACTCAAGAAAGGGAATTGCTGCAACCTCCACTGCTCAACTCCACCACCACTTGATAAAAGGGACCCTCCACCAATACTGCCGCCAGCACCACCAAGTAGACTGCTTCCTACATGATAGTTCATCTCACTTGTCCCTACCATGGGAGCCGAAATTCCACTATAATTTAGGCCAATATCACCACCAGTATAGTTATCAGTAAATTGACTCAAAGGAGACATAAAGCGTAGAGGTTGAAGTTGAGGATTGAGGCCAAATATATTAGCCATCGATCCATTATTGTTAGAGGAAACAGTATTGGTGGAGCTGGAGGTGGTTTGCCTATCACTACTGGCAGGAGACTTTGAACTAGTGGATTTGCTTCTTTTATTTCTTCTGCATCCACCTCCCACCGGAACGCTTCTCAGAGCGCCACCTCTAGTCCAGTACCTTCTGCAGGTCTTACAAAAGTGTCTTGGCTGGGAAAGACTATAGTTGTTGAAATAACAGAACTTTGTGTTTGTTGAATCGCATCGAGGGCATTTCATGGCAGCCTCTGGCATCGGTATGTTAGCTAACCGGGCTCTTTCAGACATGGAGCCTGGCCGGACTGAACCTGTGGCACCACCAGCATGAGGCTGTGGGGATGGTTGAGGTGGGGGCACAGGCTGTGAAGCAGCTGGTTGAAGCAAAGGGTTTGTGCTGCTACCTCCAAATTGATGATTTTGTTGCTGCAAAAATTATAAAGCAGAAATGAAACATCTGGTATATTCAACAAATTAAAGATGCAACAAAGACATCAAGAAAAAAAAAAAAAAAAAAAGAAGAACAAGAGATAAACAAAAAGGCATGAGAATATTTTTCTTTTTCTTTTGAAATTTACTTTTTTCATAGAAACATTTGATATATCAAAGAAAAACCTCACTTGCTGCCAGTTGGATGAATCAAGATATGCTGGAATTGAAGAAAAATCCATTGTTCTTGATCTTTCTCTCTTTTGTAAAGGTTAATTGGTTTTTGGAGCTGTATAGTGGAGAATCACATCAACTAGAGAAAGAGAGGAGATAATAAAGGGAGAATGAGAATAAGGAGCTAAAATAAAGGAGGGGGCTTTATGAATGTGCATATATATACACACACCATAGCAACAGGACGTACTAATTTGTTTTCACTCTGTCTATTTTTGTTTTATTGCTTTTTAGGGTTTTGAGAAGGCAAAGTTTTATGAATTACTTAGCCTTTAAGCTTCTCGTTTTTATCTTCTGAGGTGGCATCGCTCTGATTGCAAGGAAAAAGTAGTCATTTTATAATGTATAATTTAGAGAAATGGAGAAGAAAATGCGTGATTGAGAGTGATTCCCAGCTTCAATTGCTAGTTTACACGAGCATTAAGAAAACCAATGGCTTCATTCTAATGTTACTTTTCAAGAAAATGATTAAAGAAATCTTGGAATTTATTATATACAAAGGAAAGTTGAGTAGTCTTGGGGGGTGTTTTAGTGGAAACAACAGTGTCCCGACCATATGAAACTTTTATCAGCACCGATTCGTTCGTTTTTCCCCACCCCACCCCACCCAACCCCCCTCTCTCTCCCATCTCTATCTTTACTTTGCATGGGATGGGGGGCCACTAGCATATAATGCACCTATACTTACAAAATATTTTATTTATATATACAAGCATATGTATATGTAAGTATAAAAGTTGATTAAGAAAATTATTTTAAGAGGGTGGATCCTCTTAGCTCAGCCAAACTGCAATATCAGGATTATGTTCTTCTGTTCAAGTTTATTTATGATATGCTAATTTTAATTTAATTACAAATATTAGTGTGTAATTATATATACATATGAAAAAAAAAAAGGAGAAAGGAAAACTTTTTTGTTGTAAGAAAAAATTATTCATTTCGATTTTGTTAGAAATTTAAAATTTGTTGATTGATTTAAAATTTTATAAACTAATAGATAAATTTCAACCAGCTTTTTTATTTAAATGGAGTTCTATTACATGATTAGATTTGTTATATAATAAACTAATTCTTATTTGTTATTATTTGAATCATAGATCCGTAACATCAACTACAGAAGAATGAGGTTCGAGTTGATGAACAGTAGATAAGTTCACGTTTGATCCTCTTTAAAGTTTATATTTCTCAAATTTATTTTCAACCACACATAATGTTATCATCTTTTTAACCATATATATTATCAATTTTTTATCATAATTTATTATCTACACCAAACATGGCATAAATAATGGTTGTATTGATTGTGTATTTCCACAATTTAGTATTTTTAAAATTATAATTATTGTTTAAATAATAACATTATACTAGTTGTTAATGTTGAAAGAAATTTACACTTATTTTCACTAAAATCTAAAATATGTAATAATAATAATAAAATAAATAAAGACCAAATCATTTGCAATTGTCATTGTCGTATATAGTTATCCTCGAAACATGCATCAAATTTACCAACTCAGACTTTTATTTCATGATGAACACTTTGGAGAATAAACATAACCCGCCCCCATAATATGTCTTTTCATTCTGTAGAATATTCCTGAAAAAGATGTGCATCAAAATACCCATGTCTAGAAGGTGCATCGGTTAGCCTCTGTTTGGAAAGAATTAATTATCGATTTAAATGAATAATACTTATAGTTCCATTAAATATGCTATTTTAAATGAAATTCAACCATTTATAAATTATTTATAAATTTTGCTAAATAAAGAATCGCGCATTTTTCTCCATCTATAACTATTAACTCATCAACGTACACGGTACAAAACAAGTATATTCAAGTATTGCAAGATCTTTGTTTTCCAATTATATATGGAATTTAAATTAAGATCCCCATACACTTTCAAGTACAAAGTGAAAAGATTCATGAACAAAGTATGGCATTCCATAATCATTTACACTGTTTTGACCTGAAATTCTCAGAATCAAGAAGCTTTAAGTATTAGTTTCTCCAATATTTTTGAACTTGCGGATGGCCTAACCGTATCTGAAATCCCGTGTACCACATAAGGATCTTTCTTCAGTCCAGAAGTTCCTGCACACCAACCTCCTGGTGTCAATAGGCCATC